CTTCACAACTTTCCAGTCGCTTTCTTAGGTCTGATGTCAGGGTCCAAGCTGCACATCCATACATTAGAACTGGATACACGTAGCAATTGAGTACGCAGAGTCTTGTTTTCATCTTCAGCTTCTTATTCTTTAGGATGTTTTCTAATTTGGAGAAAGTTGATTTTGCAAGTGCAATCCTTCTCTTGATTTCTTGCTCGCCTCTTGCATCGTCGGTAATTGTAGTCCCGAGGTAATTAACAGAAGTGGCTTGCTTTATTTGATTGTTGTTGATCTTAAGAGAGCATGGTATTCCTCCCTTCTTTGAAATTACCATGCATTCCGTTTTCTTGTAATTTAATGATAATCCTCTCTTGTCACTTTCTCTGACGACAACATCCAAAAGTCGCTGCAGGTCCTTCTCCAATTCTGCGATTAATATAGTATCATCCGCATACCGTATGTTTGTGATATTATGTCCTCCTACTTTCAATCCTCTTTCCTGTTCTAGGTTTCTAAGTATCAACTCACTGTAATAATTGAAGAGATCTGGAGACATGATACATCCTTGCCGAACCCCCTCTTAATGTTGATGTAATCACTTAATTCTGTTTCTACCCTAACACATGCTGTTTGTTCCCAATACAGATTTTGCAATAACTTGATATCCTTTGTGTCTAGTCCAATCTTGGTTAAGTCTTCAAATAAGTGATCGTGTCTTACTTTATCAAAGGCTTTTGTATAATCGATGAAACACAGGAAGACGTCTTTCTGCATTTCTACGGCCCTTTCTGCTATAGAACGCAGAACAAAAACAGCATTTCTAGTTCCGGCATCTCTGACAAAACCAAACTGCACATTACTCATTTCTGGAGTTAGGTGATTCCTTGCTCTTTGAAGTAGAACTCGCAAGATGATCTTTGTGATATGGCTCATGAGGCTGATGATTCTATGTTGCCCGCATTCCACTGCTCCAGGTTTCTTGGGAAGTGTAATAAATATCGATGTGCACAGGTCATCTGGAAACTTTCCATCATCATAGATCTTATTGATGACTTCAGTTAGTTTCATTACACCATAGTTCTCCAATGATTCGACCATCTCCATTACTACTCCATCAGGACCAGCAGCTTTGTTCCTCTTCATCATGCTGATCGCTGACCTCACTTCTGAGAGCAGAATCCTAGGTCTTTCAATAGATCCTGCACAGTGTAGAGGTTCTTTTCTTACATCATCAAAAAGCTCGCCAATGTACTCAGTCCATCTGTTGAGTATCTCTCCCTTTTCAACCAGTACTGATCCATCCCTTGCCTTGATGCACCCCGACTTGGAGCTCCGAAGTTTCTTCCCAGAAAGTTCATTTACCTTCTTAAAAACCCTGGGATCGTTTGCATTAAAACTTCTCTCTATCTCGGCGCACTGTTTGTTCAGCCATTCCTCTTTAGCTTTTGTGCAGTGGTCGTGAATTTCTCTGTCCAACTCTCTGTATTGACTTCCATCTCTGTCCTTGATTTTCTGCCTTTTACTCATCTTTGCTAGAATCTCCTCCGTCATCCATCTCTTTTTACTTTTCTTTTCCTTTTTAGGTAATGTCTCTTCAGCTGTTTCTACAAGAATGTCCCTCATTGATTCCCAAGTGACCTCCTCTCCCTGGTCGGTGAGACTATCGAATCTGTTTTGTACTTTGACAGTATATCGGAGGCGCACATCACGATTCTGTAGCTGTTCGAAATCTACCTTCTGGATTGACTTGGCTTTTGTCATCTTCTTTAGCTTACATTGCAGAGTTGCCACAACAGGAATGTGATCACTCCTACAGTCTGCACCCGGATATGTTTTTAGCTTGTTTTACACCTCTTTTTAAACCGTTCATTTATTGTGATGTTGTCAATCTGATTTCTTGCACGATCCCCAGGGCTTTTCCAAGTATATATCCTTCTTGGATGTTCCTTGAACCATGTATTGACAATGAACATTCCTTTGGCCTCGCACCACTCTATCCATCTGGTACCCCTTTCATTTCTGTCTCCAATACCATATGACCCTACTGTTCTACCATATCTGCCTCTTCCCACCTTGGTGTTCATGTCTCCCATGGCAATTACAATTTCATTCGATTTACATTGTGATTTGGCTGTCTCTAATGGCTCATAAAAAAATGTCAATATCTTCTTCTGTGCTTTCTGCTGTGGGTGCATAAACCACTATTATTGCCATGTTGAATGGTTTCCCTTGTAATTTGACCAACAAGACTCTGTCGCTGACTGCCCAAAAGCCCAGAACACAGTTAGCTGTGAATGGATCCAGAAGCACCCCTACACCTCTTTCATGTCTTATCCCTCCTGAATAGATCATCTTATGTTTTTCAACTGTGAATTCTCCACTGCCAGTCCATCTTGTTTCACTAATGCCTAGAATATTAATTCTCATCCTGTTCATTTCTTGCACGACGTTGTCCAATTTCCCTTTCTGGTAGAGAGTGCGTACATTCCAGGTGCCGATGCGCATGATGTTACGGTTGCGGACAGACGCTGAATGACGATCGGGTCCCACCTGTCGCACATGGGAAGGCCTACCGAGCGAGGCACCTCTATTTCTAGAGGTTCCCTTCACGCCGTTTCTCTTTGACTTTGAATCATGACTTTCCATGGTATATCTTGGGAAGAATAGTGAAGGTGGTTTCCCGTTGCCTTCCTCACCGCAGTGTGGTGACCATGAATATATCCATGTGAACACCAGTTCTGAGAGACGCCGTTGTCCCTGATAGGATCATCCGCCTGAACTCTCACTGCATCGCTGCTGCCCAATGCAGTCCCTTTTAGTCGCCTTTTACGACACATAGGGAATACGTGGAGGGAATTCTATATGGCACCCACTCCCAGGCACAAAATTATTAGACTTTTTAAAAGAAATATACAGTTGTGTATCATCAGCATAGAACATCTTTTGTATTTGATACCTATCTATTACGGACTCCAGTGGAGAAATATAAAGCGTAAAAAAATGAGACCTAACACAGATCCTTGCGGAACACCTTGAGTTAAAGAGTGGGTGGATGATCGTTCATTTCCAATAATAACACGATGGCTTCGGCCCAGCAGATACGATTAGAACCATTTCAAAGCCTTGTCACCGATTCCAAGTTTGTGTTCCAAACGCTTCAGGAGAATGTTGTGATTTATGGTGTCAAAAGCCGATGAAAAATCTAGTAATATGAGAATTACTTCTTCACCCTTGTCTAATGACATCAATATATCATTTGTGACCCAAAGAAGAGCTGTTTCGACTCCATAAAACTGACGATAACCTGATTAGAATTCGGCATACAGATCATGTTCTCTAAGATAGGTTTTCAACTGGGAAGCTGCAAGCTTTTCTAATATCTATGCAAAGAATCTTAGATTAGTGATTGGACGATAGTTTTTTAGAAACTCTTCTGTTTTCAAAGAATTTCCTTTTAATTTGGGTAGGATATTGACACACTTAAATTTATTGGGGACGCACCCAGCTTCAAACGAATAATAATAATAATATTTAACTTTTATATAGCGCTTAATACAAATGTCTCTAAGCGCTTTACATATACTATTACCCCGGTCATTGGATTCATCTAAGAAAAGGAGTCGGAATGGGGTCAAGATCGCATGTCGTTGAGGAAGAATTCATAATAAAACTATAAAACTACTAATAAAATTTATTCTAGCAACTTGTTTTTTAAAAAAAACTTTCTTGAGTTTATTCGTTTGGGCCTGATACCGATTTGACCTCACAGAGATCTTTCTGTTTTCAATGTTCAATGATAAATTATTAACAAATGTGATGAGTGCTGTTGTTGTAGAATGCTTTGCTCTAAACCTAGACTGATTAGAGTTTAAGATGTTATTATCGTCAATGAACTTAGAAAGTTGGTGATATACAGCCCTCTCTATGATTTTATGAAACTGGGCGGTAATTGCTTGGATCAGACATATCACCAGCTTTAAACATTGGAATTACTCGTGCTGCTTTCCAGCCATTTGGTTCACATCCCGTGGTCAAAGATCTGTTTATGATATCGGTTAACGATTCTGCTATCACATATTTTGTCATTTTTAGAAGACGACAAGAAATTTGGTCATCGCCAGTGGCCTTGTCTTTGCACATGCGATCAATTTCCTTAAAGACAAAGTCCTCAGACACATCGTCCAAATAAAATGTTGTGATGGGATTAACCGATTCACCTAGAAAGATGCCACTTTTGTTTACAGAGCTGGCCAACTCTAGATTGGAATCGAGTTTTTCAAAGAATTCAGTTGTCGCATTAGGAGGCCTAGAAAAAGCTCCGATCAGAATAGGTGGTTTATGTGGATAGTAAAGTTCAACCCCAAGACATTTCATATCTTCATGATTTGAATTTAAATCATCTCGCCTCTTACAGTCGAATCGTTTGGAAACAAAAACTGCACCTCCTCCACCATTCCTATTTCTATCTTTTCGAAGTAATATGAAATCATCCATACATACTTCGGAATCCATTACGGTACTGTCACACAGAGTCTCATTGAGTGTTATGACATCAAAAGGTGAATTCTTCAGTATTAGTTTTAGTTCATCAATTTTTGAAAAAACGCTATGTATATTTAAGTGGGCAAATTTAATTCCTCTACTTTTTATGAGAGGTATTGAGCAATTCTCTAACAGTACTGACTTATAAATTAAATAAATTCGGAATCACAATATCATTTATAATTTTGGTGGTATATACAGGTTGGGCTAATTGTTCTGTATAATTATCATTAGCTTCTTCTTCAATTTCTCTCGTGACAATACTTTGACAATGAATAATTTCGGCGTTGAATTCTCACTCAGTATTTGAGTTCACTAAGACAATTGATAGTTCTGTCCTTACTTCCTGAAAGTTTGGAAGTAATGCTTCCGGAAATTTGCATCTCTCTGTGGCATTGACTCTGGTTCCAATTCTGATCATCACTGGGACTCTGGCTCCAGTTCTGATTAAACCTCTGGTTCCCGTTTTGTTCACCGCTATGGCTCTGGTTCAAGTTCTGATCACTTCTCTGGCTCTCGTGTCAATTCTGATCATCACTCTGGCTGTGGTTCCTGTTCTGATCATTACTCCGGCAGTGGTTCCATTTCTCATCATACCTCTGGCTCTGGTTCCAGTTCTGATCATCGTCCCGGCTCAGGTTCCAGTTCTGATCAGCGTTCCGGCTCAGGTTCCAGTTCTGATCACGTGTCCAGTTTTGAACCCCGTTCTGATCATACCTCTGGCTCTGGCTCCGGCTCCAGTTCTGATCACGCCCATGTCTCTAGTTCCAGTACTGGTCATGCCTCTGGCTCTGGTTCCAGTTCTAATCATGCCTTTGGCTCTAGTACCAGTTCTGACAATGCATTTGGCTCTGGTTCTAGTTCTGATCACATCTCTGGTTCTGGCTGTTGTTCCAGTTCTGATCAAGAACCTGGCTCTGATTCAAGTTTTAATCACGCCCCTGACTCTGGCTCCAGTTCTGATCATGCCTCTGGCCTTAGTTCCAGATCTGATCATTCCTCTGTGTCCGCCCTGGTTATGTTTCAGATCATTCCTATGCCCCTTTCTCTGCTCCCATGTACAAAAGTACTGCAAGTACTGCGGTATTACTGCAGTAGTACTGCAGTAGCTGTAGTACATGTAGTACATGTGGTATTACTGCAGTACTACTGTGGTACTACTGTAGTAATACTGCAGTAGTACTGTAGTACCTGTAGTACATATGTGGTACTCGAGTACCTGTGGTATAACTGCAGTACTACTGCGGTACTACTGCAGTAATACTGCAGTAGTACTGCAGTACCTGCAGTACATATGTGGTACTTGTAGTACCTGTGGTATTACTGCAGTACTACTGCGGTACTACTGCAGTAATACTGCAGTAGTACTGCAGTTCCTGTAGTACATAATGTGGTACCTGTAGTACCCGCGGTACTACTGCAGTATTACTCCAGTACTATTGTACAATTTGCGGTACCCATGGTACTACTGCAGTACTACTACAGTACTACCGTAGTACTCGCAGTACAATCTGCGGTACTACTGCAGTAATACCGTAGTACACAATCTGCGGTACCCATATACTACTGCGGTACTACTGCAGTAATACCAGTTCCAGTTCTAATCATGCCTTTGGCTCTAGTACCAGTTCTGATAATGCATTTGGCTCTGGTTCCAGTTCTGATCACATCTCTGGTTCTGGTTGTTGTTCCAGTTCTGATCAAGAACCTGGCTCTGATTCAAGTTTTAATCACGCCCCTGGCTCTGCCTCTAGTTCTGATCACGCCTCTGGCCTTAGTTCCAGATCTGATCATTTCTCTGTGTCCGCCTCTGGTTATGTTTTAGATCATGCCTACGCACCTTTCTCTGCTAGCTGGCTCTGGTCATGTCTCTGCCCTTGCCTCTGGCTCTGATTCCAGCTCTGATCATATTCCTACTTGTCAAAGTTATTGTTACCCTGATCTTGGGTTCTTCTTCTTGTCCTGGCTTTTCACAGCATCAGCTTAAGTCTGAGGTTCCTCGGTGAAGGTACCTTTGCTATCTTCACCCTGAAGAGTTTTCCCCAGATGTTTGATCAAGTTTCTTTCCAGGGCGTTAACGCCGCTTCTGTTTAGGTGAACCCCATCACGTGACAAATGCCAATTCACGTCGATGTTTGAATTGTCGATGAACAGCCAACCTCTCTCATTTGCGAGCAACTGAAGAGCTCTGTTTACATTGCTCATCTTGGAAGAACTTGATGGGGTTTCATTTAGACGATTCATAATTGACGAAACTGATAGTGTTTTTGCCTTTGTAGTGGTTTTTACCTGGTCGCAGAGTGAGGCTACCTTTGCTACAACTACTTCTTCACTATAACTCGCCATATTTTTTGTACGGAGTTGTTTTGGACAAGGAGTTCTAGGGTCCTTAGTTGGATATGTCGCAACTAAGACGGGGCCCAGAATTCAAAATAGTTGTAATTTAAACGCAATACCAAATTGGGAGATACTGGACGGTTAGGATTCAGAATTTATTGTACCCAACCCCTTTTTCTCTTTGTAACGAAAGACCTTGCAGATAATAGATGATAGCATCCTCTGCTGCTACTTGGTCTACAATGTATATTTCACCTTCACTTTAGTGTGGTATCGGACCATATTCAGAAACTTGTCTGAGGCAGATGTGAGGGAGATCTTAATTTGAATTTTCTCATTGATTTCCCTTTTCGATTTTCACAATTTGTTTGCACAAATCTTTGGCTCTTGTAAGGAGTTTGGAGTTTGATGTTAACTCCTCCAACAGGCGCTCCAGCTTCTCCAGGGCTTTATTAGTGCTGTGGGTGCAATCGATGCATATTCACATATAAGTCTTGAACCGCGTCTCTGATCTAGGACATGGCATGTCACAGAAATGGTAGTGGCGTTTGAACTGCAGATTCTGATGACTTTCATCAATGTCTTTCAATCTACAAAACAAAATGTAACAGGCGTACAAGTTTTAAACCAAACCCGTCCAGTATCGCAATTTTTATATAGATTTTGGCTTTTGGCTTATGCCAAAGTTTTGAGATGAAAATTATGGAGGGGGCGGGGCAGCAAGAAGTATAAACCACTGATATATAATTACACGATAATCGACCAAGAGCTTACAACTGCCGTGTAAAGATTATTTGATCATTTTTCCGTTAGCAACTTTCTTTGTTAATGTAGCTTCGCATTAATTGCTCTAATTTTGTTCAAGGAGGGGGAGGGGCACGGAAGGGGGAGGGATGCATATTTTGAGCCCTACCATCGTTTATCTATATGATTCAGACTGACATCCACCTGGATCCATATCTAATTGTATGTATCACTTGATGGATAACCTGCATCATATCTGAACACACCTTATGTTATACACAACGCAGCCCCCATCCCAAAATTATTTTGATGGGAGGGGGGGGGGGGCGGCCTTTTAATGGAGAGAGGGGGTAGAGTGAAGGTTTTTGAACCACACCATGCAATATGAATATGTTTAAGATGGTAAAGTATGTCTTTCACTTGGAACAGGTCTTATTTTACGTATTATTCGACCTGTATTCTAATTTGACTCTGAGAACACATTATATATCGGTTGCTTGGCATATTATTACCATAGCAACGGGAACTAAGCGATATATAATTAGAATGTGATTGAAATGCATCACCTGACATCATACTTCCAATCACAGTAGTCATCTTCTTGGTGGTAGCAATTTCCCGTGTTTTTTCACGTCACTTTGTTACCGTTGCTAAGGAGAAGACAGCCCTTTCGCAACCAAATTTGCTATTTTGGCTTATAACAAAGTGTCAACTGTAGAGCGCTGAAACTTTTTAGTTAGAAAAGCAATGAACTTTAAATTCAAATAGGATATCAACCATGTTTCTGAACGGTTTGTCAGCAAGTGTCAAGTCAATTTATATCATAATCGATTAAATATGGCGAAATATGTATTTTGGCGCGAATCATATTTTTGAAAATATGGGATATTCAATTGCTGATCGGAGATTATTGATGCCCCGAGCAGGGGTGGCTGAGCGACTTCCAAAGTGGGGGGGGGGGGGGGGGGGGGGGGGGGGGGGGTAAGAGGAAACTTTTTTTTTTTTTTTTTTTTTATTAAAAAAAAATAAATACACACATATAAAATACCAAAGGGGGTTCAACCCCCGAACCCCTCCCCTGCGTACGCGCCTGGACACACGGTAAATGTTCAAAATCGGCTCTGATCGTATCAATATCAGGCCAGCAGAGTTATAAGGCTCCGGCCACACTCTGGACACACGTGGACAAATTATGTTTATGCCTAGGTCACATTTGCCGCGGCGTCCGTGCGGTCTAAAATATCTACTGGCAATAGTCATAGGGCCGCCGCAGCATTCTCACGGTCACCACGTAATAACGGGGTAGTTGTCCTAGAGGGTGTTTGTCCTAGTGGTAGTTGTCTGGGGGAAGTTGTCCGGGGGTAGTTGTCCTAGAGGCTGGTTGACCTAGGGAGTAGTTGTCTCATATTTGTGCCTTTTCTTGCGCTTCAGCGCTTTTGGGCCTTAGGCAGAGCGGTCCATATTTACCCCATAGATGCACCACTGTTCTAGTAAATAACTTTTCCTATCAATAATAAACCATATTGTCAAAATCACATAATGAAAAAGAGTTTAGACAAAACTATTTCATCTTTTTGGACAGTGTATGTCCGTTTTCCAATTTATTTGATCGTCTTTTGTAACCCCGATGAATTTTGTAGATCAATGGATGTTCATTACAAAAGAAATAAGAAAAAATGTTCTGCCATGCATTTAAGTAATTGTTGAATTAATGGCATTAGGGTTGAAATGTGAAAAGCATAGGTTAAAATCTTTAGCAAATAGAAAAACGATACAAATAAAATACATAATAAATAATGCCCCGGAATCTGAACCCTTTCATATTAGTTTGGTGATGATATACAGTTCATTACCTATGTTGTTACAGTTACCATAACATTTGATATTTTTATAACTGTATACAGTACGTAAAGATGTAAATCGAAAACATATTGTTTCTCAGGTTTTGAGTGAATAATCGATACATTGACCTGACTAACATGAGATGGGGGGGGGGGGCAGTAGAATACATGTATGTTGAGAAGTTCGACCTGACATCATGGAATTTACGATGGGAGTAATTGAACTGCAGTTTAAACAGATAGGAGAAACAATTAACTGATCCTAAATCATATTGATCTGTTGATTTGAGAGTAGTGGTCAGTGGCGTACGCAGGATTTTTTCAAGGGGGGGGGGGGGGAGGTTTAAAATTTTGAAATCGGGCCAAAAATTTCGCAACGACTCAGCCCCCCGCTGAATAAGCGGGGGGGGGGGTGGTAAGAGGACACTTTTTTGGTCTCGAAATTTAACAATTTGACATTTTGCTCCGTAGAGGGGGGGGGGGGGGGGGGGGGGGTATGGTAACTTTTTATAGGTCAGCCATTGGCATAATTAAAAAAAAAATCCACAAAAGGGGGGGGGGGGTTGCTCAAAAATACACACATAATACACACATACAAAAACTCAAGGGGGGGGGCTTTAACCCCAAACCCCCCCCCCCCCCAGCGTACGCGCCTGGCAGTGGTTATATATGGATAACCGGTTATTTCATGAAGTAAAGTGTTAGAGAAGAGAAGAGAATAAAACGAAAGCATAACGGTCGCAAACCAGTCCTGAATTACACTACTCTTGAAAAACGTGTGCTTTATTCAGGGGATAACTTGAACATCCTGATCATATATTGATGGATTGTCAGAAAGGACGAAATTTTTCCCCGGGCATATGATCCAGTAATCTTACAAACCCTTTTACATTTCCCCGTCGGAATAGGTAGAGGGGTGGGGTTGATCCTCATACTTGATAATCTGTTATGATAGTAACATTATGTTAGATTAAAAAAATTGATGATATTGCACTACTTTTAAATACTTTTAACAATTACATAATGGGACAGGTGCCATCCTCATTCATTTGCAAAATCAATACGTTCTTCTGACATTATTTTGATTAAATAATGCTAGTTTTACCTTCCAGAAAACTGTAAAAAAACAATTACATATAGAACACTTTGCAGTTTTCAAAGGGTTACAGAAATAATACACATGGGGACGAAGAGATTCGAGTTTTCATTTGTGTAAGTTCAAAAATTAAAATACTTACTCTCATCAGTATTCATTATTCAAATAGCCTCTCCATCAGCAATTCCGTAGCACTCCAAATTGTCATATGAAATTAAAATATGGTATATATAAATTCACTACCAATCTTATAATCTTCACTCTGATTTTGTCTTATGACAGAAGGTTCACTTTTCGCATCCACTTCCTGAAACGTTCAACTTTTCCAACCTGCTTTCTCTTTATGTGTACCAATTGGGAAAGTAAAAATAAACACTTGCGTTTGGCTATATAGGAAAGATTAACTAAGAGTCCTACAAAATATGATCAAACCTATACCTTTACAGATGATACCATCGATGACGATGTTGAGAAGAAGTCATCGTGATACCGACCGTGAAGTGTCAGGGCCTTCAGATGAGTCAACTTACAGATGAACTGAGCGAGATCACGTGATGCAGAGGGACGTTCCTTGATACGCATATTATTGATGATAAGAGTCGCAATCTGTTATGAGAATAAAATCACGTTGAATGAATAATAACTAACATTCCAATAAAACTATATTCAATATTCAATAATCTGTTTAAATAGATGTTCATATCGCTGCCACAATTAACAAAAACTAAACACAGTCACATTTATTTTGTAATGGGGTACAAGTCTTGACACCTGAAATTAGCACTGATTTTAATAATTCCTGGGTTCTTTTTGAGATCGATATGAAGGTGTTTATTTACTACTGAGAAGTAATGACAGAGGTGATCAAAAGGTTTTAACTCAACCAATCGGCGAGGGGGTGTGGCGGATTGAAAAGGATAATATTTTCTAGATCATATTGACCTGTTTTCTGTGGGAGGGTGGGTAAATATAAATGAAGGACTTGGCCCATGATTTAAAGTATTACAGAACAATAGAGAATAAAACAAAAAGACAGAACGGCCGCAAACCACTACTTAATCACACTACTCTTGAGGAAAGTCTTGTGCTTTTATTCTCGGGAGAATCTGAACATCCCGGTTATGTTATCGAAGACATTGTATAATGGCGGATTCATGATTGTCAGAAAGGGAGGGATTTTTCCCTCCTGGACATATGATTCGGTAATCTCGCTGACCCTCCTGCATTTGCACGTCGAACTAAGTGAGAGGATGATCCACGTACTGGATTTCAAGTATTAATCTGTTATAATAGTAACATTGTATTGGATATACAATTGCTTACATTACACAACTTTTAAATATTTAAAATATTACATCACGATACAGTTGCAGTCCTCATTCATTTATAAAAGCAGTACGTTATCCTGACATTATTTTTATTAAATAATGCGTTACCTAACAGAAAACTGTGAAAACAAATATACATAGAGCACTTTGCAGTTGTTAAAGTGTTACGGAAATAGTACACGTGGGAACGAAGAGATTCGAGTTTTCATTTTGTAGGTTTGAAATATTTAAAATACTACTCTCATCAGTATTCATTATTAAAATAACCTCTCCGTCAGCAATTCGGTAGCCCTCCAAATTTTCAGATGAATTAAAATATGGTATATATGATTCACTGCCAATCTTATAATCTTCACTCTGATTTTGTCTTATGACAGAAAGTTCACTTTTCGCATCCACTTCCTGAAACGTTCAACTTTTCCAAACTGCTTCCTCTTTATGTGTACCAATTGGGAAAGTAAAAATAAACACTTGCGTTTGGCTATATAGGAAAGATTAGCTAAGAGTCCTACAAAATATGATCAAACCCATACCTTTACAGATGATACCATCGATGACGATGTTGAGAAGAAGTCATCGTGATACCGACCGTGAAGTGTCAGGGCCTTCAGATGAGTCAACTTACAGATGAACTGAGCGAGATCACGTGATGCAGAGGGACGTTCCCTGATACGCATATTATTGATGATAAGAGTCGCAATCTGTTATGAGAATAAAATCACGTTGAATGAATAATAACTAACATTCCAATAAAACTATATTAATTGTTCAAAATTATGTTTAATTAAGATAGTGATATCGTTGCCACAATTAAACAATCTAAACTCAGTCAGGTTTATTTGTAATGAGGTACAAGTCTAAACACCTGAAATTAACACTGATTTCAATTATGTGAGGGGGAGAGGATGATCCACATACTGGATTTCAAGTATTAATCTGTTATGATAGTAACATTTAATTGGATATACAATTGCTTACACGACACTACTTTGAAATATTTTAAAATATTACATCATGATACAGTTGCCACCCTTGTTCATTTACAAACGCATACTTTATTCTGACATTTGATCTACAAAAGCACTTTGAACATCTTAATTTTACATAACAGAAAATGTGAAAACAAATAAACATGGAGGACTTTGGGTTACAGAGTAATACAAACAGGGACGAAAATATTCGATTTTTCATTTTTGTAGGTTTCTAATTTAATCTATTAAGTCTCACCAGTATTCACAATTGAAATAGCTGTCTCTCCATCAAAAATGTCGTATCCTTCCGGATCGTCATACGAAATTAAAAATATGGTATATATGATTCATTATATGCCTCACTTAAGAAATCCAGCCATCTGATTGGTCGAAATTGCAGTCATGGTTTTAACCATTCCCGTAAATAAACGAAAAATGCCAAACCCATGTAATAGTTCTAGAGTAAAATCCCGGCAAAATTCCAGTTACCATGGTTACCGGGAAAATAGTTCAGTCTTGGTGAAATACCCATAGGTTCACATGTTAAAAAATGGTTTGAGCGATCGCGGATACCGTACGTGTGCGAAGAATTGGTCGGTATTTTTAATACGTGTGCGAAGAATTGGTCGGTGTTTTTAATACGGCAATCTCGATCGTCCTGAATTCCAAACAAGGCAAAAATGGCTGAAGAAACTCTCCCAAGATTTTAACTTCTTGATGATGATCAAATGCAAGACTTGCTGACAGCTAGAACACCAAAAAGGGTACGTGTAATACTCCATTATTTTTTTCTTCAAAATAGATCAAGTAGGTCTAGGCCTAGATTCTAGTAGTGCTAAAGTCCTTCCCGTAGAGATTGCACACATCCCTATGCATTGGCCATTGCGCACTCATGCTAAATTGGTCAATGTTTTAATTACCAGATATTCAAACTAATATTGCTCGTGATCCTGAAGGTGATACTCAATAAGTGAGGTGTCATATGAAAGCGCAGGTTTTTCTCCATATTCCCCACAGGGCCGGCCTACCCCCAAAATTGTAAAAATATCTTGCTTAGACTAGAATCTAGATCTAGTCTACTCTCAAAGATACACTCATAAAAAAACAACCGTGCAGATAAACTAGAGAAAGGCCAAGGTAGTGTCATAAGTTGCCTCTTTTTTTTCGGCATATAAAAGTATTAATGACAGCTTTAATATTCAAGAAATAGTTGTTTTTCTCAAAGCAGTCATTAATGCTATACTATCAATCTTATAATCTTCAGTCTGGTTTTGTCTTATGACAGAAAGTTCACTTTTCGCATCCACTTCCTGAAACGTTCAATTTTTCCTCCCTGCTTCCTCTTGATTAAAGATGTACCAATAGGGGGAGTAAATTTAAACACTTGCGTTTGACTATATAGGAAAGAGTACACGTTCAGTATAGCAAAACATGTAGTAATTAGCTAACAGTCCTACAAAATATGATCAAACCCATACCTTTACAGATGATACCATCGATGACAATGTTGAGTAGAAGTCATCGTGATATTGACCGTAAAGTGTCAGGGCCTTCAGATGAGTCAACTTACAGATGAACTGAGCGAGATCCCGTGATACAGAGGGACGTTTACTGAGATCCTCACAACCAATGGTAAGAGTCTCAATCTGTGACATTGTGATGAGAGAATAATATAACAAACTCAATGAAACTATATTCAAGATTCAACAATCTGTTTTACGTTATATTGATATCGTTGCCACACTTTAAAGAAAAATCAAATCATCCCAATATATTTTCTGATTAAAAAGTACAAGTTTTGCCACCTGAAATTAGCACTGATTTCAACAGTTCTTGTATTCTTTTGATACAGATATAATGGTATTTAAACATTACTGCTCCGTAATGACAGAGGGGAACAATATGTTTTGACTGATTCAATCATGACTGTGACATGACGGGCAGCACATGTGGGATAGTAGAAGACGTTAAGAAAGTCCGATGCGACATAACATATAAAAGTTACCCATCGTGAATCTCTTCTAGATCATTTTGACATGTTGACTGTTGGAGCAGTGGGTAAAGATGAACAAGGAGTTTGAGTTTGACCTTTAGTATGTGTTTATTTGTTTCACATTTCACATGCAGATTCGATACAGATTAAAAAATATATATACATACGAGACATATTGTTTCATGATAAACAGGATTATATTAATTAACAAATTAATTAAATTACAAAATTATACATCACCAAGTATGTTTGCCAACTATAACCAGACAAGACAAGTACAAAACTAAACTGTGATCGAAACACTGGGGGTCCAGTATCTTAATGCGTTATAATAGTACATTATTTCTTAAAACGTTAACATTGCCTATTATGTTATGTCTTCGCGGCTCACTTGTTAAAGATAATATGTCCCTTTGCAGCCTACCTCAAATTCTGTAGAACTTTGCAGGAATTATGAATATGTCATGTATATCCTATCTGTAAAATTTAAACGTTAGCAGTGTCCTTATATTCAAATTATGCAAGAAAACCCGTTTACTTGCTAGACTTCACTGTCAGACACTACTGTCAGTATTGAGTGACTGACTGGCTTTTTCTTCTTTTTTGGTAATAACATACATAAAATGAGCTGTAAAGGATTTGTCTACTACAATAACCCACTTCTGTAATGGCCAAAATTAAACTCATTGAATCTTTGCGCAGCATAAAACGTACGACCATGCGGTACAATGGTCTGAAAATCAAGACTATTACTTATTGGCTCTATAGCTCCTAAGTCGATTTGACAACTAATAGTCGTTATTTTCTCACTTAAAGACAATTTTCAAGCCCCATTCTTTTAAGGGGAGTTCTAAATTAGTATTATCTTTCAAATGCCAATGGTATTTAACCTTTTCATTTTTGGGCCTGCAAAAGGGACATAGTACCTTTAATACAATAAAAATTACCCAATTTGGCTTGACTATCGAAATGAGTATACTTCCCGTGGATCTCCGACCCGTCATTTCGGCCGTATAATGTCAGAATAACACAATGTGCATGTCTTTGCCTATTCCCGTAAATAGCAAGTTGTTATATTTTTGTTCTTAATATGCATTTGAAGTAACAAAATTTATTTCACAATATGCAAATTGCGAATTCCATGCGTTTTTCAGGAGACTCTATAACCTTTTTCTGTAGACATGTAGCGAATCTTAATACAATATTAGAGAAATGTTTCCGTCTATCAGATTAAACAAATATTAAATTTACTTTTTATCATTTGTAAAGATGCATATGTTAATGTGCATAAAGTATGCATATAAAAATCACATAATTATGAAGGTTCAGGTGTACAAGAGAATCATCCGTCTCCACTTCTCATCAGCGTATTACCTGCAAATAGACATTTGGAATGTATCATTTTATTTTGGTATGTATTTTTTTTTATAAATTTCTTATGTATCATCAAGTATTTCTGTTTAATTCCTAACATTAATTTGAAGAAGAAAAAAAACAATGTGATATCAACTCACATGTAACTCGCATTTATTCCTGTTCGTGAATATATGCAATTGGAGCACATTTTAATGAAACACGTATTTCAATTGTGATGCAAAACCTGGCAGGTTAATCCGGTCCATGGTTTGACGAACATGCTTTCAAAATGTGCGTAACCCTTGAAGAAAGAGACAATGCGGAATGCCAGGGGGTTACGACGTTAGGACAATGAAAATAGAAGGGGATTCCAGCTCCCAACCCCCTTCCCCTCATACATTAAGGGCTAAAGGTAGTGTATCATGGCAAATACTGGTTAACGCCATCTACGTCTACTTCTGGACAACTGCACGTAAACGAATGGACTTGATTAACGGTAGTAAGCGACTTAATCTCTACATGGTCAGCGCGAGCTGGCGTTCGCGAAACAGACCCAAGTTCTCCTCACGTTTCGGTTTCGCGTATGTTGCACGTACGTGAATGCTGCGGTCGCGTCGTCAGGCCACGGGAAAGACACATAGTCTCGTAATGCTACAGTCCCTTTAACTTTATATGATTCACATGTTATGGCCTTCGTGATAATTCAATAGTAGAGCATGTAGAGAGGAAACACACACAAGTCAGATGGGATAGGTCTAAATTGTCTCCACCCCCTCGGAAAAGTCATTGAACATTTTAAGGGAGAAGTCTTAAACAAAGAGTGAGAGAGAGGTAGAGAGAGAGAGAACGAGAACGAATGAGAGAGTGAGAGAGAGAGAGAGAGAGAGAGAAATAGAGTAAGGAGAGAAGGAGGGTAAAGGAAGGGGAAGCATGCAAGTAAAAATGAGCGTGGAATTATCTTTAGTGGGTAATTATCCCAGGGTGTCGTTTTCTGGTGGGTAATTGTAATAGGTGAGTGGTTGTCCTAGGAGGGGGGATTTCACGGGGGGGGGGGTGATCGCGCAGTGGGAAATTGTCCTGATAAGTAACAACAAAAAAACACTGCAATCAAGCTATAGAATTTTGAAATTTTGAGCATTTAATTATTAAATAGCGGTTTTTTCCCCTTTCATTTCGCCAGGGGACGGGGAGCAACATCCCAATACTATATTTGGGGCAGTATCAAACTGATGGCTGGTGAAAGTACGTATGAGATATGGAAGATTTATCAAAGAAAAATCTTTTTTTTATCCAAATTCTTAACCGCTTAAAAGTACCATGTCCCATTTGCAGGCCAAAAAAATGAAAAGGTTAATTCCAATGGCATTTGAAAGATAATACTAATTTAGAACTCTCCTTAAAAATGGGGGACTTGAAAATGTGTTTAAGTGGGAACAAAATGAATATTAGTTGTCAAATCGACTTAGGAGCTATAGAGCCAATAAGTAATAGTCTTGATTTCCAGACCATTGTACCGCACGGTCGTACGTTTTATGCTGCGCAAAGATTCAATCAGTTTAATTTTGGCCATTACAAGAAGTGGGTTATCGATGTAGACGAATCCTTTACAGCTCATTTTATGTATGTTATTACCAAAGAAGAAAACAAGCCAGTCAGTCACTCAATAGTGCCTGGCAGTAAAGTCTAGCAAGTAAACGGACTTTCTTGCATAATTTGAATATTAGGACACTGCTAACATTCAAATTTCACAGATAGGACACACATGACATATTCATAATTCCTGCAAAGTTCTACAGAATTTGAGGTAGGCTGCAAAAGGGACATAGTATCTTTAAAGCCACACTGCACTACTTATAACTACTTGCGCCCTCTTTATAACAAACAATGCATTATCGGTGACTGTTGGTCCCCCATGGTCCCCTTTTTTAATGTTAGTTAAGAACTGGTTTGATGAGATAACCACCTGTCAGTGACCTTGCAGGGAGGTCTAATCCCTCTTGGTCAAACTAGTTCAGACGGGCTTTAAGAACTATATTCATAAACAATTTATTATATAAATTCCGTGATACTGAAGCGAGAAACTCATTTTTACTTGTATTTACAATGTGTATTTGAGGCCTATGATAATTTTTCTCCTATTTTTCATGTTTGTGTCTATTTTTTGTGCATCTGCGCTTTTTGGCTTTTGCGTACGGGCAAGCGGCCCCTCTGCACCCCAATAGACACGCAACTGTTCTTGTAAAGAACTGTCAAAATCTCGTTATTATCCCGATGTTTCTTTGCATATACGTACAGCGTTGCCCATAAAGTCGGAATAATGTTTCCTTGCCTGTTTTAATGAAAAGGTTGTGATAAAATTGTTCAATCTTGATACATGAAGTTCATATTTTCTAATTTTTAATGATCAATGGAGTCTCAGAGATCAATATTGTTCTGAGAAGATTTTTAACTTTTAATATCAAGAATAAACCATACTGTCACAAAAGATTTATTCCAAATTTATGGGCAACAGCCAGTGTAAACGTCGCCTAGCTGGCAGAGGGGTGTTAGCTCGAATTTCAGGTAAATTTTTTACTTGCCCAGTTGAAAGGTAATACATAGAGGAATTCCTCATTGAAATATTTAATTTCGGTATGCACAATAAGGGTATAAATTTACTACTTCAAACAGCAAAATCCTACATATTCACAGTTTTAGTGTAAAAGTGACTTATTTTATAAATCTTTCAATTCAACATGAAGTTTTTAAGTTATTGATATGAAATTGCTCTCACATATTCCTGATAATTTATTTCGTTGAATGAATGGAATAAAATTAATAGAAACACAATCTTCATGATATATTATAGGGTAATTCACTGAAAAATGGACTAATTATCCATGTTTTTTTATAAATCAAGAAAAAATGTTTAGATCTCCGCGGTTTGTACCGCTTAAATTTTAATACCACCATTTTTTCTGATGTCTAAGCTTCAAGTTGATGCCAAATTTGGCTGCCCGATCTTGCCCGTTGTTTGTTAGAGCCAATTTCCCTTGCCACATTGCCCCGAAAAATGTGAGTTTTTTGGGTCCACGGCTGAATCATGAAGGATTCGTGGTCATAAATCACGGGGCGAGGGGGCGCGTGACACTAGTTCTGACACCGCGGACCAAAATAAACACATTTTTCGGGGCAATGTTGCAAGGAAAACGGCTCTAACATAATAACGGGCAGAATCGGACAGACAAATCTGGTATCAACTTAAAGCTAAGACATCAGAGAAAATGTTGGTAATACAATTTAAGCGAAAATTCCTGGAAATCCAAA